CATGCCTACTATGCCTACCATGCCTACCATGCCTGCCATGCCTACCATGCCTATCATGCCTACCATGCCTACCATGCCTACCATGCCTATCATGCCTACCATGCCTACCATGCCTACCATGCCTACCATGCCTACCATGCCTGCCATGCCTGCCATGCCTACCATGCCGACCATGCCGACCATGCCGACCATGCCTACCATGCCTACCATGCCGACCATGCCGACCATGCCTACCATGCCTACCATGCCTACCATGCCTGCCATGCCTGCCATGCCTGCCATGCCTGCCATGCCTACCATGCCTACCATGCCTACCATGCCTACCATGCCTACCATGCCTGCCATGCCTGCCATGCCTGCCATGCCTGCCATGCCTACCATGCCTACTAACCATCTCGCATTACTCGGCACTGTATGTGTCACCACGTGTGCCCATGAGCCTGCTCCAAGTTTGAGCATGCCTGTGTATGTACACATCTCATGGCGCTATGACTGCAACTTTGGACCAACGGAGACGGGGGTGGGGGCAGGCCACTGGTGTGTGCTGCTGCAGGATGGGTGGGTTCGACACGGGAGTCGCTTGCCACTTCAGTCAATGTCACGTCGTCATTTATCTTGTTCAGCATTGCTTCTTTCCAGTCACCTTCCCTGGCGTTTGCTGAGTCTTCTCATAGGTACTGCCCTCATCCGTATCCTAGATTCATTTTAGCACATGAAGGTGTCTGCAAATCCACGTGATTGAAGAAGGGTTTTGAGACGTCTCAAAACGTGATTGAAGAAGGGTTTTGAGACGTCTCAAAACCATTCTTCAATCACGTGGCTATTCTTCTGGTTCCCGTAGATTTTTGTTGGCGTGAAAATTACCTTCCCGCCTACGTCGAAGATTGATTCAATCGAGGATGCGACATGTTGCAGCGAACACTTCGCGCGACATCAGTGGTTACCCCACTTCTTCGACCCCGGTTTCCAACCACCCCGAGGATTCCAATTCTGGTTCCTAGGGATTGGGCTGAAGCTGTCTGCTCTCCCCGACGCTTCTCTTCACATTCGCCTATCATTTCCGTCATGTCCTGGTTAGCATAGCTTGATCGTAGAGTATTTTAGCCAGTTTGTTTCATTTCCGAGCTTCAGTTTCAGGCTTGTACTGATGAAGGCTTGCAAAAGCCGAAACCAGTCTGCAATGTCCCTGATCCTTTAGTAAAGAATTGTTTTAAACTGGCTCTCTCAATAACGTTCTAAGCTAAGCACACCAGGCTCCTTCCGCCATTTCGCATGGAGTTTGTTTCGTTGTCCTAAAACAGCACGAGTTGATGGAAGTAAGGCCTCCGCAGCCCACCTGTCCTCTTTTGACAGCTCTAGCACATGAAGGTGTCTGCAAATCCGCTGGCTGGTCCGTGTTGGTCCTGCCACCGTGGAAGGAGAGAGATGGGTGAGGAAATTAGTCACGTGGTTCACACGGGAAGGGGATGCGTACAGAACAGAGCCTGTTTGTTTGGGACGAGAAACAGCTAAACCATCATCGTCAATGATCGATTCCCTGGGAGTTGAAATGTTGTGAAAGGACATAGGTATGCTTGATTGATGCAGTATAGCAATTCGATTAGCTAACCTCACTTTGGAGGTCAAATTGCTGTATGCCTAGCTGTCGGAACTGAAATAAAATTACCGTATTCCCCCGGATAGAAGACCCCCTCAAAATACAACACCCCCGAATACCTAATACGGGGGGGTCTTTTATTAATCCTCGATTTCGTTATACCCCCCCATTGGGGGGTGATCAATATAAGACCCCCCCCTTTCCCCTATAGGGGGGTTTTCCATGTACTTTACATTTGTTTCATTTGAAACCGGAACATTTTATAGTGCAAATTTGGCTTTCGGGCGTGAATTCCCGTGTCAGGGGGTTGATTTGCTGCGTCAGGGGGCGAGTTTGCCGCGTCAGGGGGCGAGTTTGCCGCGTCAGGGGGTGAAACTGTTGCGTCAGGTGGCAATATTGCCGTGTGAGGGGGCGAAATTGCTGTGTCAGAGGGGCGAATCTTACGGTGACTGGCGATTTTGTTGTGACCAGGGCTCACGGTAGCAGGGTGCACATCCGGAATTTTGTCGACATTCCGGATTTTGAGGGGTCTGAACTCAGAATCATCCGGACTCATAAAGGGTATTTCTCAGAGACATCCGAATGCATAAGGGTGCTCCTTAGAAACTTTCGTGCCGGAATCGATTGGTCGCCCCCTGAGTGAGACTCATCTGCGTTCCGAAACAGCTGTAAGCCAACTATACGATTGTCTTGTGTTTTCGCACTCACAGTCAGTCTAGTGGGTGCCTGTTCCATTGTTCGGAACATTCTAGGAACTTGTATAAATGTGTGATTTTCTCGAGTACTTCTTCAAGTCTGCCCTTCACTTGTATTATGCAGCAGTTACGACTCGATGGGCCAAAGGGTGTTTCATAGAGAAACACTGAGTCAGGGTACCCCTTGATAGAATCCGGACCAAAAAGGGTGGCCTTTCTACGGTTCCGGAATTTACGTATGTTTACGTGGGGGCCCCGGAGGCATCCGGATCTCTAAAAACGAAACATTAGCCCTGGTTGTGACTGGTCAAGCTATCAACTTTAGTATTATTTGTAGTGTTGAAAACACAAAAACAAAATTTGCCATATGAAAAGACCCGGGTGTTATAAATATTTTTCCTTTGTTAAGACCCCCCCATTTTTTTATAGGAATTTAGCATAAGACCCTAGGGTCTTATGTCCGGGGGAATACGGTAGTGGTGGTAACTGAAAATTCGGTGGCTCGACAAGAACGTTTCGGACCACACAACGGTGAGCTTGGTAACAATATAGAGATTCAAAACATTAGTATTTTCAGAGCGTGTCATTATCTGTTCGACTTGTATAAGAACCTGTTAAAGCTATTGCTTTTGATTCCTATATAGAACCAATTGTTTCAAGAGCATCACTGTTTTAGGCCTTGCCGTTCACTTGGCAACATAAAGAAGTGTGTTTATAATTAGTCTCTCCTTTGTGTTCCAATTGTTTTCATTTTAAAAAATATAATTACGGCAGTTTGAGACGTGGTGACTGAAATGCGTTACAGTCGCAAGACATAGTTCGTTCAGTGTTCCCCATGTCGGATTTTCCCTCCACGCCTTGGAATTGCTGCAAAACACAGTGAAAACCTCAAGGAACACCGTCCCGTTCCTCGTTACACCCGAAAGCCACCGCCCTTTGTGTTGCCTTCGAGGTTTGCGTTCCTCTGGCTGCACACGCCATGCAATGTGCACACTTTCCCTTCCTCGTCCCCTTCGCTCGGGAATTCACTGTCATTCGCCGAGCCAATTGTTGCCCCCAATTCACCTAGAGAGCTCCACGCTCCTTGCCATTGTGAGACACCACCAAATTCTCCCGATACATACCTCCTTCGCACGCGATGAATCTTCTGAGTAGACTGATTCAGCTGTGCGATCCACTACTTCCCCAGGTCACTTCTATCCTCTCCTTGCTTCCTTGTGTCTATTTAGAAGCAGCGTTTGAGTGTTGCCCCTCACCTCTTTTCCTTTTCCTCTTTTATCCGCTTCTCTTATCTACTTCGCGCAACCATGACCTCGCACAAGACGATGAGGTCAGCAACGCATATTAACAACCTTTCCAACGACGTCCTCGCTAGGATACTATGGCTCACATCTAGGAATTGCGACTGTCACGCTTTGAGGCCAAAGCAGCAGCAGCAGCTCTTTTATTCGATCGTTTTAGACGCCGCCTTTTTCCGTCTTCGCAAAGAGATGTTTCCACTTCCGACTCCCTCCGCCATTCCTAACGCTGACAAGATCTTCCTCGTGTCGTTGGTGTGCCGTCGTTGGCGCGATCTAGCTCAACGTGACGTCTCCACCCTCCTCGTTAATAAAAAACATGTTATTTCCCGACAACATGTCTCGAGTGCCGTCGCTTGCTTCCCAAACCTCACTGATCTCCGTCTGTGCTACGGCAGCGTGGATAACCTGGACGATGCCTTCCTCGCCCACCTCGCGTCGTCGTGCCCTAAGCTCACAATTCTCCACGTGGGACGCGCGGTCACGCAGCGTCAGCGTCTGAACGACATCCGAGGGAATCACCTGCACCCGATCACCGAGGCTGGCCTGGATCGCTTCTTCCAGCGATGCACTCAGCTGGAGCAGCTTTCCTTCATCTGCCTCCATCGAGACGCTGTGCTACCGCCTTCCTTCTTCCAGCTAACGCGTCTACACACCCTGGCGTTAGACGCTGCATCCGCCTTAGAAGCTCCAGATCTAGAGAGCCTCGTCTCCCTCACCACTCTCCATATTGACTCTACGACGTTGAACGATGTGCAGCTCGCCAACGTACGTCGTCTTTCCAGCATCACTAACCTTTCATTGTCTTTCCAGACCAGGTTTTCTCTTGGTGATCCGAGCTCGCCTGCGTTCACCATCGCCCAGTTACCGTTGATAAAATCGTGCAGGACCTGCCAGCTGTTGCTGTCGGATTTGCCGTGCACAGGTCTGGAACGGCTGCAGATTTCATTCTGCCGAGAACTGAAGCGGTTTCCGAACGACTTTGCAAAATTGCTGCCGAGTATTCGTGAGCTGACCATTTTCGATTGCCCTCTCTTGGAGGAGCTGCCTGAAAGTTTCTGTTCTCTGAAGCACCTCGAGACCTTGTTACTCTTCAGCAGCAACCGACTTCGCCGCCTGCCTGAAAACATTGGGAGTTTGTCTGCCCTGAAAACTCAGGGTTTGGAAAGGCTTCCGCTTGAGAGCCTCCCTGACTCCGTGTGCCAGCTCACCTCTCTGGAGACCTTCTCCCTGCTTTCGTGCGCCCCGATCCGCGAGCTGCCAGTAGGGTTCGGCTGCATCACAGCTGTCACGACTCTCTGCATCAGGCGAGTGGCGCTTCCAGCAGACATTGGACGCCTGAGTAACCTCCGGACCCTTGTTGTGAGAGAGAGCTCTCAGCAGCGCCATCTGCCATCCTCGTTATCCGAGATGTCTTCGTTGACCAGCCTATCGCTTCACCAGTGCGGAGTGGAGGAGCTGCCAGAGGCCGTGGGAGAGCTGAGCAACCTGCGCGACCTGCACGTCTCATCCTGCTCTCATCTCACGGCCCTTCCAGCTTCGCTGACATGCCTGACTCGCCTTGAAGCTCTAACACTCTCAGACTGCGCAAGTCTCACCTCCGTGCCCACAAGGTGGGACGGCCTCACGAGGCTCAAGCGCCTTGAGGTGACCGCATGTGGCGAGCTGACACGTCCCGATCAACTCCTGCCCGCTTCGCTTGAAGCGTTCAGCTGGGGAAGCGACAGGCAGGCGATGGCTCCGCCAGACATCTCCAGGCTGACGGGGCTTCGGGAGCTTTCCCTGATCAGGGCTGCCGTGGCCACGTGTGGGCTCACTGTGAGCAGGAGTCTTTCTCATCTGGAGCAGTTGGTTCTCAACTTGGGAGATGCTGAGGAGCTTCCGTTCCCGTTGACCTTTCTTTCTCAGCTGCGCACCCTGTATATTCGCAACGCGATGAATCTCCAAAGGCTGCCGGCTGATATCTGGCCAGCATTGCCGCAGCTGCGGAAGCTGAAGCTGGTCCGTGTGGGCGAGTTGAGGGAGCTGCCAGCGAGTGTGACTGCGCTGCAGAGCCTGACGTTATTGGAAGTCAACTTGGCAGCCAAACTGGTTTCTCTGCCACATGACATCGGTGCCTTATCCAGGCTGCGGGAGCTGCACCTCGATGCCTGCACGCAGCTGGAGCATCTGCCCGCCTCCCTCACCCAGCTTGCCTGCCTCAACGAGATGTGGATTATGCACTGCTCCATCCGCTCCATGTGTCCCAACTTCTCACGGCTTGCACGGCTCAGGTCTCTTCATTTGCGAGGCTGTGCGTAGCTGCAGGCGCTGCCAGCTGATCTCAGTGAGCTGAAGGCGCTGCAGGAGCTGAATGTGAAGGGGTGTGACCAGCTCACTGACGTTGATTGGTCTGTGCTCCCAGGAGCAGCAGTCAGATGTTGACGTTCGGATTTTAATAGGTACGGTATGTCGGTAGACACCAGTTCTTTACTGTGACAGTGATATGTAGCAATTTGGTATAGACTTCTGTCAATTTACCCCAACACCCACTGCCTGCTTCCTTTGCTATGGTGTCATTGAGCCACTGGCCAGCCCAGGTACGCAGGAGAGGAATGAAAATAATCCTTAGCAACAGGAAAGGATGGATTTGGGACACCTAGACTAGACTGATGTCGAGGGGAAATGCTTTATTGGTGCTGTTGTTGTCATTGCCATCACTGTCACCCCTGTTGCTGCGGTATCAGCATCATTGCCATCATTAGGATCACCCTTCTCTTAACCATACCAGTAACTTCCATAGACTGGGTTGCTGCCCTGTTAGGGTATCGAGTTCCTCACCCCGTCTTAACATTTGTTTTACAATTAAGTCATGCCAGGTACCATATACCGTACATTATACATTCCTTGTGTGTTGAAGTAACTGGGTACTCTGAACATATAGCGATGACGACCCACATTCACCCGAAGGATTTGTGTCATAAAAATCTACGGTAGCAGTTGTGGAACTATTTAACAAACGCCAGGGTCGCCCGGTAGTGCTTGCCAGGAACAATACTAGGCCAGCCCGATTCATTCAAGAGTGAGCGAATAGACACATGTACTTTGAGTGAGTAGTCTATGAGCGTGCATCCCCCTGCCCCCCACCCTCTTGTGTACGCTCTTTCCCACCCTAAATGGATAGCCCACAAGCAGAAGACGCCCAGGCCCACCCGGGATGAGCATGGCTGGTGGGGGCTGGTGGCAGGTGCTTGCAGGGTGTTGTGGGAGAGATGGGAGGAGAGGTGGAGGAATGTGGTCAGCTGGAGGGCGGCCTGTGGGTAGGCTGATGGCTAGGCATGGCGATGGATCTGCTGAAACAAGATTAGAATCCCCCATTTCGAAGCCGAAGGATTTGATTTCAGTTTAGCGTCATTGTAATCCTAGCATGGTTGTAGTCTCCCTGTGCAAGTGAGTGGAGGAAAGGGGAAGTGAAGTCATATTTCTGCAAAAAAATACTCATGGCCATTTTCCATGCGGAGATGCATGATGGTTGGTATAAATCATTCGACTGCATATCATCATGCCTTCTCTCTGTGCACAAAACTCACATTCATTTCTATCAGTTTCCATTGACATTTGCTGAGCTATCTGGCACTGGCATTTTCAAATTCAGACTGTCGCGTGCTTTTATATTAACAGCTTCCAACTGTGCTTGTTCGGGTCAATTTCCATTTCATTCCATCCAGTCAAAGATTATGGCGATTTCCACCCAAATTCCCATTGCCATCTTTTCCAACATCGTCAGTCTTCCTCCCGTGTTCGTTCGCAATGATTCCCTGCCATTCTTCTTGTCAATTGCCATTGCCTTTCTCAATATATTTTTCCTTCTCTGCCACTTCCTACCGGCAATGCTATCCCGTGCCTGCCATGCCTACCATATTACCATGCCTGCCATACTTCCCATGCCTGCCATACTTCCCATGCCTGCAATGCTCTTAGCTTTGAGCTATTTTTGTTCATTGTGTTCTTAGCCTCTTGGAACTACTTACATAGCATTGACCAGCTGACGTCAGGGGAAGGTAGGAGTGAAGCACGAATAGGAGAGTGTCGAACGGGTGTAAATTGGTTGGTACTTGGTTTTCATTACCTTGCTTCACCCCCATTTTCCCACCCTCATTTCAAGCTGTCACTTTACTATGTCAATTTCCCACCATCATTTTCCCACCACCCCACTGCCATGTTCCCACCATCACCATCCCACTGCCATGTTCCCACCATCACCATCCCACTGCCATGTTCCCACCATCACCATCCCACTGCCATGTTCCCACCATCACCATCCCACTGCCATGTTTCCACCATCACCATCCCACTGCCATGTTCCCACCATCACCATCCCACTGCCATGTTCCCACCATCACCATCCCACTGCCATGTTCCCACCATCACCATCCCACTGCCATGTTCCCACCATCACCATCCGACTGCCATGTTCCCACCCTCACCATCCCACTGCCATGTTCCCACCATCACCATCCCACTGCCATGTTCCCACCATCACCATCCCACTGCCATGTTCCCACCATCACCATCCGACTGCCATGTTCCCACCCTCACCATCCCACTGCCATGTTCCCACCATCACCATCCCACTGCCATGTTCCCACCATCACCATCCGACTGCCATGCTCCCACCATCACCATCCCACTGCCATGTTCCCACCATCACCATCCCACTGCCATGTTCCCACCATCACCATCCGACTGCCATGTTCCCACCATCACCATCCCACTGCCATGTTCCCACCATCACCATCCCACTGCCATGTTCCCACCATCACCATCCCACTGCCATGATCCCACCATCACCATCCGACTGCCATGCTCCCACCATCACCATCCCGCTGCCATGTTCCCACCATCACCATCCCACTGCCATGTTCCCACCATCACCATCCCACTGCCATGTTCCCACCATCACCATCCCACTGCCATGTTCCCACCCTCACCATCCCACTGCCATGTTCCCACCATCACCATCCCACTGCCATGTTCCCACCATCACCATCCCACTGCCATGTTCCCACCATCACCATCCGACTGCCATGTTCCCACCAGCACCATCCCACTGCCATGTTCCCACCATCACCATCCCACTGCCATGTTCCCACCATCACCATCCCACTGCCATGTTCCCACCATCACCATCCCACTGCCATGTTCCCACCAGCACCATCCCACTGCCATGTTCCCACCATCACCATCCCACTGCCATGTTCCCACCATCACCATCCCACTGCCATGTTCCCACCATCACCATCCGACTGCCATGTTCCCACCATCACCATCCCACTGCCATGTTCCCACCATCACCATCCCACTGCCATGTTTCCACCATCACCATCCCACTGCCATGTTCCCACCATCACCATCCCACTGCCATGTTCCCACCATCACCATCCCACTGCCATGTTCCCACCATCACCATCCCACTGCCATGTTCCCACCATCACCATCCGACTGCCATGTTCCCACCCTCACCATCCCACTGCCATGTTCCCACCATCACCATCCCACTGCCATGTTCCCACCATCACCATCCCACTGCCATGTTCCCACCATCACCATCCGACTGCCATGTTCCCACCCTCACCATCCCACTGCCATGTTCCCACCATCACCATCCCACTGCCATGTTCCCACCATCACCATCCGACTGCCATGCTCCCACCATCACCATCCCACTGCCATGTTCCCACCATCACCATCCCACTGCCATGTTCCCACCATCACCATCCGACTGCCATGTTCCCACCATCACCATCCCACTGCCATGTTCCCACCATCACCATCCCACTGCCATGTTCCCACCATCACCATCCCACTGCCATGATCCCACCATCACCATCCGACTGCCATGCTCCCACCATCACCATCCCGCTGCCATGTTCCCACCATCACCATCCCACTGCCATGTTCCCACCATCACCATCCCACTGCCATGTTCCCACCATCACCATCCCACTGCCATGTTCCCACCATCACCATCCCACTGCCATGTTCCCACCATCACCATCCCACTGCCATGTTCCCACCATCACCATCCCACTGCCATGTTCCCACCCTCACCATCCCACTGCCATGTTCCCACCATCACCATCCCACTGCCATGTTCCCACCATCACCATCCCACTGCCATGTTCCCACCATCACCATCCGACTGCCATGTTCCCACCAGCACCATCCCACTGCCATGTTCCCACCATCACCATCCCACTGCCATGTTCCCACCATCACCATCCCACTGCCATGTTCCCACCATCACCATCCCACTGCCATGTTCCCACCAGCACCATCCCACTGCCATGTTCCCACCAGCACCATCCCACTGCCATGTTCCCACCAGCACCATCCCACTGCCATGTTCATCAGGGTGAGGTTAGAAAGAAGGTAGAGTGATCGAGCAGGAAGGGTGAGACGATTTGAGGCTGGCAGAAATTTTAGGCTCACTCAGTCAATCCCATCTAGATTCATCTTCTCGATCTCATCCTTGTGTTATCAGCCTTGTATGTGTAGTCTTCATTGCCTTCATTTCCACCTTCAACGTCCCGACTTGCCACTTTTCCAATCCACTTCTCACCGCCATTCGTCAAGCCAGCTTAATGGTTATGCTCAACCTGTTTCCGGGAAGTCTGGATGACGTGGGGTGAGGGTTGGAGGTGATGGGAGTGTGAGATGGGATGAGGTGATGGGAGTGTGAGATGGGATGAGGTGATGGGAGTGTGAGATGGGATGAGTTCTTCCCAATCGCATTGCTGCTGTTGTGCCGGGGAGGGCACATGTCACGGCACCATTGCACGGGAGAAGTTCCATGCTGTAAATCTCGCTTCCATTCTCATTTTTCTAATCACCTCCCATTACCATTTTCTGCTCTGCATCCCGTCCAGATATCGGGTTGATGGCTGGCTAGTTTCCAGCGAGGGCATGCCAATGAATGCATGTCAGCCAGGGCATCTCATGTTCATAATCCCACGGTCATACTTGTTCCCTCGCTCTCATGAACCCATGTCATCATCACACTACCATGCTCTCATTGCCATCTACCCATGTCAATGGTTAGTCATTTCGTCATTTCGATCTCTCTGGTGTTACCTCCTCTGGTTATCATCTTCCCATTCTCATTCCCCCAGAGTCAGTGTCCCTCTCTTGCATCCCCACTTCCCGGTGTATCGCTCCCATTGTCGCTGCTACATTGTTGTTATCCCTTGGCCATGCTCTCACATGCCATACTTCCACAATCATATTCCTGCTCGAGGAATGGTGGAGTGTCTGAACGGGAGGGGAGAGGGAGGATGTATGTTTGAGGACACGGGTGGGTGGGGACTGTTGTGCAGCAGCCGGACCTGCTTTTCCTGCCCATTCATTCTTTTTCCCAAATGTTTCCCATTCCACATCACATTCATCTTCCCAACAAGTTTTTTTCAGATGCTTATGTGTACGGGTCAGAATTCTCATTGCTTTTTTTTGGCTTCAACCTCTTACAAACTTCCCCAGTCCGCTTCCCATTCTCACTTGCCCAGCCTGTTTCCCCTTGGCATTTTTCTTGTTCATCCCTAGTGTTACCACTATTTACCGAGTCAGAATTGTGTTTTCACTTCTCCAGTCACCTCCATTGTCATTTGCCGCGACCCTTCTCATGCTGCTGGCATTGTTTTCCATCAATTTCATGTTGCAGTTTCAAAATCATGTCTTGGCCAGTCCCCTTCTCATTCTCAGCTGTCCTCTGCCAGTTTCCCCAAGCCATTTTTCAACTTCTTCTTTCACATTCAGTATTTCACACTCTTCTTCCGATCTGCATGTCACCTTGTTACTTTTTACCTCTCCACTCACCTCCTTGTTGTGCTTCTGCTCAGCTCGTGATATGCCATGTGTTTCTGTCTCTTGTTTTCCATTCCACATTTCGTTGTCTTTTGTCCTTCCACCAACTTCCCAAAGCCATTTTCACGTGAACTTTTCTAGTGCTTTCGTTTTCACGCAATGTCACATCATCTTCCCTTCCCAGCTGCATGTCACCCTCCATTCCATTCTCCAGACTACTCTTCATTGCCATGATTGCCACGCCTGTCAGTCCATGCGTTTTCATGCATGGGCAGCACACACTCGCCCATCCACCCGTGCATCATCCCAGCAGCAACCTGTCCTCCCCCAGCCATTCTAGTGCATGCATTGCTGCCTGCCATGGCGGTCTGCCATTCCTACCATGCACACATCACATGATAGACGTCCCACTTATTTTCCATTGTCACCTTTCCACCATTAACTCTTTTCGTTCGCATTTTCTCACTCCAGGTAGCAGTTGATTTTTTTTTCTGTTCACCTTATTATTCGCTGACTTGTGTTATTGCCATTTCCAGTCAACCTCTCATTGCTGTTCTCCAACTCCGTCTTTCACATTCAGTATAACAAACATTCTTCTTCCCAGCTGCATGTCACCTTGTTACTTTTCACCTCTCCACTCACCTCCATTCTCACTTGTTGTTTGTGCTTCTGCTCAGCTCATGATACGCCATTTGTTTCTGTCTCATGTTTTCCATTCCACATTTCGTTGTCTTTTGTCCTTCCACCAACTTCCCGAAGCCATTTTCACGTGAACTTTTCTAGTGCTTTCGTTTTCACGCAATGTCACATCATCTTCCCTTCCCAGCTGCATGTCACCCTCCATTCCATTCTCCATTCCAGACAACTCTTCATCGCCGTTGCCATGCTTGCCACGCCGGTCAGTCCATGCATTTTCATGAATGGACAGCACACACTCGCCCATCCACCCGTGCATCATCCCTGCAGCCACCTCTCCTCCCCCAGCCGTTTTAGTGCCTGCATCGCGGCCTGCCATGGCGGTCTACCATGCACACATGACATGCTAGACGTCCCTCTTATTTTCCATTGCCACCTTTCCACCATCACATTTCGTTCACATTTTCCCACTCCAGGTAGCACTTGGAATTTCTCTGTCTTATTGCCATTCATAGTCAACCTCTCATTGCTATTCTAGCTGCCAACTTCCTTCCCACAGACATGTTTCAACTCACATTCCCCACATTACATTCTCCAGACAACTCTTCATCGCCATTGCCATGCTTCCCACGCCTCTCAGTCCCTCGCATGCCTACCATGCCTACCATGCCACCATGCCTACCATGCCTGCCATGCCTACCATGCCTGCCATGCCTGCCATGCCTATCATGCCTGCCTTGCCTGCCATGCCTACCATGCCTACCATGCCTACCATGCCTGCCATGCCTGCTAACCAACCAGCATCACCCGGCACTGTGCATGTCACCACGTGTGCCCATGACATGAGCCTTCGCCAATTTTGAGCATGCCTGAGCACACAAGGGGCTATGGCTGCAACTTTGGACCAACGGAGTAGGTTTTGGGGACACACGACTGGTGTATGCTAATTGAAATGACATATGCTCGATTGTTGCAATGTAGCATTTCCATAAGCCGACTTCAATTTGGAGGTCAGACTGCTTCATGCGTGGCTGTCGGAACTGAAATGAAATTGCCGGGGATAGGGATGTACTGGTGGTATGGTAAAGAAAAAAAAATGGCTCAATAAGTGGTTACATGATGTACCACACAACGGTGAGCTTGGTGACAATATAGAGTTTCAGAATTCGCAACCATTTTTAAAGCTTGTCATTATCTGTTCGACTTGGATAAGAAATCAAACTGCTGGATTGTTGGTAGAGGTAACATTTGTTGAACAATACATATATCTCATTCTTTATAATAATAGCGAATCTGCACATAGAAGCATTAATTTTTATCGTTTCCATCCCAACCTTGGGACCTGCCTGGACTACCATCTTTGGGAGAGGAACCCTAGTTCCTCGAGACTAGTTTCCTGAGCACTCCGAGATCCCTTGAGCTGCTCAGGACCGTCCGATTGCTGGTCGAACACTGCGATCCGTCATTTGGTACACGCCATGTCGTAGTGCGGCCTGTTCGGGCCTCCGTCTCATTCGCGTCCGCTGATTGCTCATTGGTAGTTTCTTATTCCCGTTCGTTACCGTTGACGGAGCGAAACTCAAGCCATGGCTGCCTCGAGCATAGCTTCATTCGGAGACTACACCCATAGGAGCCCCACATTCAGTCAACCGGGAAGAGCGTTGTGTTTCTGCCGACGAATCGCCGGTTCACCAGCGGCGAGCTTGACGGAAGGACGACTGGACTTGATTTTGTGGCAGCAAAAAACGCTGAAATTTCGCTGCCCAGATCCGTGCTGGTCGGAGGAGTTGGGCTGGGTTTTTTGCTTAGACCAAATAAATCGGGTAGCATGCCATTGGCTGCCCGACCTCTGGCGTAGGTTTGGCTCCAATCGGATCGCTCTATGATGTCAGAGAAATCGGCCAGCGCTAGCAGGCTCGAGCATACCTTAGATCGGAGACCCTACATTCAGTCAACGAGAAGCAGTTTCGGCGAGCTTGACGGAAGTGCGATCCGAATTCAGTTTTGGCAGCCGAAATACTGAGATTTCGCTGCCCAAATCTACTTGGTCCTAGATAAACGAGCCGCGACAATCTCGTCCGGCTGTGCCGAACCTCCAGGCTATGCTTGGAGCATCTGTTTCGGACAGCTTGCCATTGGCTGCTGAACCCCTCCGTCCATTCTCCTCCAATCACAACACAGAGCACGCCTTTCCCGGGATGAACTAGTTTCGCTATGGGCAACAGACCTGCGTTCCCCCGTCTACCCACCACCGCCCCTTCTCTCCATCCGAGCTCCATCCACCTTTCCGCCTTGGAGCTGTCGTGCATTCCCAACACCACAAAGCCACTCGTCATTCTCATTCATTCCACCACACCCGTTTGAGTTATTACTTGCTTCTGACAGCTACCACCTGGTTTCAACTCCCGGTTCTTGAGACTTGTAATTTCCCGGTCGCTTAGCCTCCTGCTCGTACAATGGCCGCGCGGAACGCCTCAGCTATCCAGTTTACGAGCCCCTCGATTGATTTCGAGTTCTGTAAGGACTTCAGCGAAGAAGAGTGCACGTGGCTGTATGCGGCGCTGACGTCCTTGGGCCTAGATCATGAGTTATGGAAAGTTTTCTCCGAGGAAGACTGCACGTTTCTGTCTGGCCCGCTGGGATTCTCGATGGGTGAAGATACATCCATCGATCATGCGTTCTGGGAGGACTACAGCGACGAGGAACAAACGTGGATGTATGTCCCGGACGTTCCCTTTTGCGAGCCTGTTGTCACTCTCTCGCTCGGAGCTGCGCCTGCTGCCAGCAGCACTCCGACCAGCACCTGCATCCGCAGCAACGATAGCAGCAGCATCAGCAGCAATAACAGCGACACCAGCAGCATGACTAGCGTTGCCAGCAGCAGCGTCAACAGCAACAGCATCATTTGCAGCAGCAGCAGCAG